CCAGTTGCATATTAAAAATGTTTATTACGCTATGAAGTTTGCATTTGGCGCATTGCTCATACGCCGTGTGGCGAAAAAAGAAAAAAAAAATGGAAACAAACAAAACTTGTTTAACATTTACCGAGCACATAAACAAACATTACAATTAATTTTTATGCGACAGGCATTTGTGCTTATAAAGTGCACTAAAATATTATGCGAAGCGCTCAGAAAAGCCAAAAACAAAATTGCAGCCAAGAAACCCCCGAAGATAAGCAACGCTTGGCCTGGCCTGAAGTGTGCGAGCGAGCAAGCAAGAGAGAGAGAGAGAGAGCGGGATGGGCTGAGCATTCAAATTGGCGACAGCGAGCGCTAAGTGCAGACAGTTGCATGTGCTAAGCGACAAATAGACAGATGGAGCGAGAGCCCGAGAGACAAAGCAACTGAAGGAGAAACAGAAACAGAAACTGAGCTGAACTGAACCGAGTGACCAACTGGGTGAGCATTGCGTGCGAGCAACAGGTTTGAATGTTGGCCTAATGAAGCGCCGCTTGCCGCATGCAGCTTGCCACTTGCCACTTGCCACTTGCCACTAGCCACTTGCCACATGAATATTATGAGTCAGTTATGGGCTTTATGCAACGCTCGCCTTGCGCAGTTTACGAGCCAATCGTAAATTTCTTAATTGGGCTGCCCGCCAAAGGCCCGCGACACTCGCGCGAAAAACCCGGAGACTAGCCACCCCCACCTCGGCAGCGGGCGAGTGGCTCAGGTGTCGCCCTATCAGCCAGCGGCTTATCACCACCCACACACTGCAAACGCAGAATTCAAGAAATTATTTGTCAAGAATCAATTGTTGAATTCATGAATTGCGCGCCGCTGTGACGTAAATGGTCCTCTATCGACTGATAAGCTGACCAAGTGCGAGTATGATTATTTTTGTGTTTGTTATTATTTATTATTTTTTTTGGCTATTCTCAATATATTTTTAATTTGTGTGCAAACGTTTCATTCAATTTGCTGTTGTTGCTGTTTGGTGGGTGGTCGCAATCTCATGATCTTTTAATATAATTTTTCAAATATATTTATATTTCCTTTCCTATATATACACATATTTGTCTATATGTATAATTTAATTGGCATTGCGAACGCGTCGCATAATCAACAATCTATGTAGTCCAATGACGTTAATTGAAACTACTCGAGATTAAATAAAATTGTTTTCAAATGCCGACGATGTGGCTCTCTGGCCGTAGCTGAAGTACCTCAGAGCTGTCCACCTCCAGGCTGAGGCACGTCTAGCTAAATGAGAGCCAACAACAACAGCGCAAATCGCATGTGAATTATTTTGAGAGCCAGATATGTTTATCAGTGCGGTTCAAGTACAATTTCTGCGTGTGGTTTCCCATTAAGAAATACAAAAAGAAAACAGTCCATGCATATTAAAAATCGAGCGATATATGTATATTTTTATAATCAAATGTATATATTTTTATATGCTAAGTGAGAGCCGCTGATAGCGCGCGACGCTTTTGACGTAGTAAGGCGCACCACTTTGCTTATCAGGAGCTGACAGAAAATAAAATATGAGGAATACGAAAACCACCAGGCAGGCCGCTTGAGAACATTTGCGCCCCACTCGCCACAAGCCCCGCTCGAAAAAATGGCCGCCAAAATTCCTGCTTCAGATTACATTTGGAAAGAGTTGCCGGCAATTCGCCGCTGGCTGCTAATTGAAGGGGTGTGATCTTAATTAGTCCATGCGGCTGACGGAGCGGGAACTGGGAGCTGAGGCTGGCCTACGGGCCACACACTAATGAAAAACAAAACGTTTATCAAATGCGTGATAACAACGGATGCCGTAATGGCACCCGAATGGACCACAATCAAGCTGAATTCAAGTCGACGGCCAAAGACTAGGCCCAAGCTCCAATCGAGCCCTATCAAATCTCTGCCGCCCGTAAGGTGTTAATCTCTTAGCAACTGTCGCAGCGTCCCCTCCACCTCCACCGCCACCTCCACTTCGACCAGCTCTGCATTCAGATCCAAATCCCCATTGGGTCTCTCTCCCTCTTCCTCTCTCTCTTTGTTTTATTGTTTAACGCATTCTAATTAACAACTTTAGTTTTAGACATTGCCACAGATCGAGCGTCTCGGAGTCGGGTCTGTCCCGCTTTTTAACGCACACGTGATGATTAAATTTTAATTTTAGTCTTTATACGGCGGATCGCACCGTGTGCTTTAGGGTCTCGAACTCGACTTGTGAACCCAGAGTCCGGCCAAGCAAGCACAACTAATCCAAATCAAATGGCTTCTCCAAATCAATTCGTTTTCAATCGTTTAAAGTTAATTAACGCGCCACAATTTTTATTTCAACTTAGGCATTCTTAAGTTCTTCAATTTCAGTATTCGCTACGTTTCGTTACGATTTATTGTTGCTTTTGTTGTTTTTGTTGCTTTTGTTACGTTGTTGGCTTTTGTTGTTTGTTCAGGTACACACACACGCCTTTGTTTCGTTTCTAAATTTTCTTGTATATATATATATACATACATATATATTTAATTGTTTCCATTTTGTGTATTGTGAACATTTTATTTTTATTTATTTATTTTATTTTTTCTGCTCTGCCCGATGTTCAATTTCAAAGCGCGCTTTTGTTATTCCTGTATATCATATATATACTACACATATATATAGATACAAATACATATATAAATTTCTTTTCATTGTTTTTTCTTGTTAAGGGCATTAAAATTGTGAATTTAAGGCTTTGCGTTAAATAAATTAATTCACGAAATGGAGCTTCAGACTTTTATATACCTTGCTTACCAATCGGGTAAACAGAACTTTATAAAAAAAAAAAAAATGCTGATAGATTGAGCCATATAAAATATCGAGTCCAGAATGATTTACTACAAAATTTATATTTTATAAAAATAATATTCTATACTCAATAAATACAAATGAAATTTATTTTCAGGAATATTCTGACACGATTTCTTAAACTGATTCTGTCTTCATTTTAAGTATCATATATGGTATATTATTATAGATTTTTTTTATATATCAAGCTAATCTAAATGAAAAATAATGAATCAATAATCCTGATCTATAAATCTGGAATTTATGAACTAGAAATCGATTGCAGATATAAACAGTTTGAGCTTTAACTAAATATTTTTATAGATATTGAAAGGCGTCTTATAGGGTATTTTCTATTCGACACCTGGAATAGCAGCGATTCTGTTTCTGTTTCTTTTTGTGAAAAATGTAAATGCAAAAATGCCAATGAAACGCACCGAGGGTGGCAGTGGCAGTGTATTAAATGCGGTTTCAGTCGGGGGCTTCGCCGGCGACTTTTAGCCACTTTAAAATGGCGTCGACTGTGGTGCGGGTGCTGTCGCAGTCGTTGTCGCTGTCGCTAGCTGCACCGCTGGCTAGCCGCACCGCTGGCTGCTTTATATGCCAAACAGACGCAGCAGTCGGTCGGACCGTCCGGCAGACGTCGTCATTGTCTTATAAGGCGCGGTGCGTATAAAGCCAGACATCGACATCGACGAGTTGAAAAACAAATACAAAAATAAGAAGAAGAAAAAAAAGAGTCAAGTAAACAGAGAAAAAATCACTTGGTACACTCGCGCGACATATTGAGAAATGTGCAATAGCTTAATGCCCATTTATGGGCTGCACTTTTCATGGCAAGTTGCATTTATCGAGCGATCAGCTCAAACGGGCGATCGATCAACTGTTTAGCCACCAAAAAGTATCATAACATTTCGATCGTTACTCATACGACCTGTGGCACGCACGCATGCTAATTGCCTGAGTGAGAGAGAAAGAGAGAGAGAGAAGGAGAACAGTAGCTAAAGGACCTAGGAAAACGATCAGCAGCTGCATTGAAGCAGCGTCCTAGCGAGAGAGTTGTTGCTCTTGCTCTTGTTGTTGTTGCTGCTCTTGTTGTTGTTGTTGTTGCTGTTGTTGCTTGCCTTTAAATGGTATAAATTACCAATGAATGACATACAATTTAATTGCCCGCTCTAAGCAGCAGCAACTCCTGCCGCATACAGAGCAGCAGAAATACTGTTGCACCGTGCATCGAGCAGTTGTCGCTGGAATTAATTAATATTGCACTTTAGAAGCGCGTGCATACAAATTTGTCAGTCGGCCGTTGGCCATTTTTATGCCGAAGGTGTAGCCAATTGGCATAGTTCACATTCACTCCTCTTTCCTATGGCATTTGATGGCAATTAAAAGTGTTTCGCATTAATTGTGCGTAAGATTCAAGGGCTGCAAGAATTGTTGCTGCTGTTGCTACTACTGCTGCTGCTGCTGTGGCTGCTGTTGCACGCCAGCAACACGTCCGGTTCTCTCATCTGCCTATGTGCGTACATCGCTGCTGTTGTTGTTCATTGCTGATGCTGTTTTTGTGCGTCAATTTGCTGGCCACACAATGTCGTTGTCATTGGCAGTGTTTGTTGCTGACGATTGACGTCAAACCAAATCAAATCGCAAGCAATAGCAGCGGGGGCAACCGCAAGACCCATCTTTGGGGGCTGGTTTATTGATAGCAGCCGCTATCAGTGAGGCCACTGCAATATGTTGTAGGTGTTGCAATGTCGACTGGCCTAACTCCTTTTGATTTATTTAATACAACTTCAACAATCACACACACACACACAACACTCATATATCAACTCTGGTGCTGCTATCTGATATTGCGTTGTTTGCAGTTGCAATTTGACTGCTAACTGATTCCAGGGCAACAACAACAACAACAACAGCAACAGCAACAGAACCGGCAACAACAATATCCGCAATTGGCTATGTAATTAGATCTATAAATTTTTGACACATTTCAGCAACAACAACAAAAACACCTTTCTGCTGAGGCAATCAGCGACTGGCGCCTGAGCCTAAAAGACGTTGCCGTCGGCAAAAAACAAAATATTCAACAACAACAATAAAACGAAGCTGAAAGCTATAGTAAAAAATCATTTAGCTATAGTTAGATGAGACTCACCTCTTTCGTTTAGGGCGCTTTGGCAAGCATTATCCAAGCATTATCCAATGGCAGCTGCCCGTTTCTTGTAGCTGTTGTTGTAGTTGTTGTTGTTGTTGTTGCTGTTGCACATTTATTATTATTGTTATTATTATTAGGCAAAATTCTCTTTATTTATATGTTGTATACTTTAATTGCTAATATCATAAAAAATATCACAAACTTTTGCTTATATGCTGAACGCGTGTTGTGTTTTAAAGAATTGCAATTATGTTAAATAACTTTATTGTTGTTGCTGTTGTTGTTGATATTTATAATTCAAACTTGGCAAGCTTTGCATGTATAAATCTTCTTTATAGCATATACATATGTATGTATATTTATATATATATATATTTCTTTAAGACACTTCAATTGCGACTTTATGCACTTATTTATATATTTATGATTTTATTATATTTCCTTTGAATTTCTTATGTAAAATATTTGTGATTTGATTACTAAGAAAAATTTGGCAAGTTTAGTTGAATGAGAGAGCAAAAATTGATTAGATTAAAAATTGTTGTTACTTTTTGTTGTTGTTGTTGTGTTGGTTGTAGTTGTAGTAGTTGTTGTTGTTGTGAATCGCAGTTAGGTTGAGTTAAGAGTGAAGTTTTAGCAAGTTGAGTGACTAAAAATTGAATATCAATAAATAGGTAATATTTTGTTGTTTGTTTTTGCTTTTCTTTTTCTTTTTCTTCTCTTTAATTTATTTATTATTTTTATAACTGACGCGTGTTAACGTTTAACGCTCGCTGTTGTTCTGCTTGTTGTTGTTATTATTATTATTGTAGTTGCTGTTGTTGTTGTTGTTAGTGTAGCCGCTGCACGCGTGTTCGTTTAATACACTTCGTACGTACCGTGTACCGTTTCTTGTTGTCGACGCGTCAACGTGCAAATAACAAATAACGAAAACGTACGAAAAAATGTTCACTGCAACGCAAAGAGATTTTCCCGTCGTTGCGTCGTCGTCGTTGGCATCGTCGTCGTCGTCGCTGGCTTCGGCTGCACCACCAACACGCACGCATACATCACCAATAAGGAGAGTGTGAGAGAGAGGGACAGCGAAGGAGAGCGAGAAAGAGAGGGCGCGAGAGAGCGAGAGAGCAAGAGCACGAGCGTCTATGTGCGACAGCCAAAGCAGCTGAGCGGGCGTTGGAGGGAGTTATTGCAATTGCACGCACAATTTGGCCAACCAAAAAAAGTGAGGCAGCTATTCGCGGGGCTTTTGGTAACTTGCTTTCGAACCGGGCTTGAAACTCTATTAACTTTTTGCGGCACTTTCGCGACAGCGAACTCGTGCGGGGCTCTGACGTTGAACCTGAACCGACACTGCCCAGCAAGACACTGGCGCAGCCAGCGGCCTTTCTAAGTAGAATTGGCTGCCAACGACGACGCAGCTGCTTGTGCTGCCGACGCCGCACACACACACAGCTACAAGCGAGCACACAGAAGCGTGCGTCTGTGTGTGTTTGTTGGCGTCTCATTCGCCGGATAAACGAACCAGAGAGCGCCCCAGAGAGCGAGTGTGAGAGACCGAGACTGGCTCAGCCAGACTGCAGCACGTGCAAAACAACATAAAAGCTGCCTGCTGATTTTTGTCATAGTTGTTTTTGCATTTTTATCTCTCCACTTCGCGGCTGTCAGCTGATGTTGTTGGCGTTTGTGGCTGCAACTGGCGAGTCTCTGCTGCTGTTGGAACAGCAGCTGGTCATTGTTGGTGTTGGTGGTGCTCATGCTCTTGCTGCTGCTGCTGCGGCGTTGGCTTTGGCTACTGCTGCTGCTGCTGCTGCCCCCGCGCTAGTCGCAAGTCGTTGTAGTTGTAGTTGTAGTTGTTGTTTATGGCTGCGTGGGTTTCTAATTGCTCAAACTTTATACCAATGAGGAGACTTCGTTGCATTTTCGCTTTTGCGAAAGCGAGCTCCGAATAGGCGCCTCCCACTTTTCCATTGTTGTTACTGCTTCGCTGTTTTGGAGCGTTCCAAGCGTTGGAGTTGGATTGGCTGGGGAATGGCTCATAGATACAAAGGTGGGGATGGGGGCGTATAGAAGTCAAGTACAGATTGCGTAATGAGAGCAGAAACGAGCCAATCAATTCAATACTAGAGATTATATATATTTTTACCAAGAAATATATACAAATTTATTTAAAATGCTGTGAAAGCGGTTAAGGCAAAAATAAACATTTAACTAATAAAGTGACATTTCTAAAAGTTTTTATAAACAGCAAATAATATATGACAAGACCAAAAATAAAGTTTTAATTGATATAATTACAATTATATGGGCATTGGAATACATTCACATATGTTCAAGTTAAATGATAAAGTTAAAGTTACTTACTTAAAGTTACTTACATCTAAATCAGACTTATATTCAAACAATAATTWAGTTATTTCAAATGTTTTTATTTCATGCTTTCGTGGTATATCATAATTTTTTTTTTTTTTTTTTTTTTTTTTTTTTTTTTTTTTTTTTTTTTTTTTTTTTTGAAATAAGATTCAATCTTTATTTATTAATTCAAATATTCAATAAGTATATATAAGTATATATATTTCATGTTTAAAATGAAAATACAAAATGTACCCAGTTATATCTTTAAAAGCAAAATATTAATTTAATAGGATAATCTCACTATAAAAAGACAATCGCAGCATATTAAGAGCTGAAAATAAAATCAAAATTATTGTTTTCTTAAATCACAATCAACTGCCGGATAAAAATTCATTCGGATAAAATAAGACACGCTCACACAGCAGCAAAATGCTCTCATAGTTGTTCGCTCTTTATCTCACACACACACGCATATGTCGCTCATTGTATGCTCCTCTCTTGCCTACCTCACACACACACACACACACACACACAGAGAAAAAGAGCTCAGTCAAATGCCGGCAAACTTCAGCGGCAGCGTCGAGCGTCTGAACTTGAAATGCCGATGCAGCAGCGACTGAGAGCTGAGCGCGTGCTCTCAGTTGGCGTGTGTGTGAGGGCTCTAGATGTGTGAGTGAGCGCGACGCAGCTGCATGCCGACGGCCTCTGTGGTTGTGTTGGTACTGTGTGACTGTGTGAGTGTGTGCGGTGTGTTTACAAAACAAACACCAAAATGAAACAGAGCCGAGCCGAAAGCATGCCAGCCACTCAAACACACACACACAGCCAGTGGCCACGTTTTGTGAATGAACGAATAGTAGCACACCAACACAAGAGCGCTCACTCACACACACAGCAATGCCAGTGTGCGCTCTGCTTAAGTGTGTGTGTGTTTGCGTATGTGTGTGAATTGTGGGCAGGGAAAATAAACGAAACGCAAAAACGCGTTTACGCGATTCGTACAAAAATTTTTCGTGTAGCAACAACAACAGCAATCCGCTTGTAGGTGTAGCTATGCAGATAGATCTGTGTGCGTCTGTGTGTGTGTGAGTTATTAGTGTTAGTTGATTGGTGTGAAACAACTACAACAATAAGTTATTGAAATGAGACGACAGCGACAAGCACAACGACAATATTTACGCTGACGAGGCCGCGAGCCGCGAGCCGCGAAATAAAACCAAAATGGTGTAGGCCCAGTTGGCCGRCGCGAAGGTGGCAGCAGCAGCAGCTGGCAGCCAATTCGCGACAGCAACATCAGCATTAATACGAATCCGAATGCTGATACTATTCGTGTCTTACGCCTCCGTCGCGACGCTCTGGAGGCAGCCAGCCAATAACCAATCAACCAACACAGCAAACAACATTTCTTGGCGTTGGCGTTGGCGCGACGCTGATTTGTTGATTTGCCGATTTCTTCTTGATGAAGTCGTCGCAGCTGCTGCGCTGCTTGTTTTATGCATATTTGGAGTCGACTTGAGTACATTTTAGTGTCGCAATTGCCTACGCCGGGCAAAGCAGCACGGCAATCCAAACACTAACACCCCGGCGTCTGCGACGGCGATCTTGAGCAGAGCTCATTATTATTATTATTTTTCTCTCTTTTTTTTTGGCATCTTTTTGCGCAGCTGCATCGAAATGTTCCATTGAAAATGCCTTCAGAGTTTGTTTGTGCTTCGGCTTTTTGTGCTGGAAATCTTCCCACGGTTGGGCAGGCATCACCCTCTCTGATTGAGCATTGTTGTCGCTGGCCCACCACTACCACTGCCACCGCCGGTACCGCCGGCACCGCCGGCACCACCCGAGCCAGCAACCCACCACCGCCGATCCCTGTCGTGCAACCCCCTAACTTTTGGCGGGAAACGACAATCTTGCAATCTCGGTTAACGTCTTTCAAACTTTCCTTGAACAAAAGCAAGCCGCCCGCGGTCCGCCTGTCAAGAAGCGTATTCTAAGCCGCAGGCAACCCAACCCAAGCCAGCCCAGACCAGACCAGCCCAGCCCAACCCAACCCAAGGCGATCGGATCCAGCCCAGCGATTTCAGCAGCCACCCCTGAATGGCCTTACCTGAGCACCGCTTCGCATGTCATGCTGCTCCTTTTTCCTTAATTTTAATGATGCTCATTCTTTCTCGACAGCATCTATCCTACCGGGCCTTGGCGTGGCGCAGCGCGGCGGGAGGGCAACGGAAACTGCGCCGCGGCGTCTGCTTTTGACTTTCCCAAACACGCGAAATACAAAACTAAAACTAAGCCTCGGCCAGGAGGCCGCCGTAGAATTCTCAATTAAAAACGCCAACATTGCGACAGTGTTAACTACATTTTGGCGCATTGATTTGCATTGATGCAGCAGAGGCAGCCAGCCCGATGCAATAACCATAAAAGCAAATGGCATTGTGGCACCTCGATGACGCCAACGGCTCAATGGAGAGTTGTGCCATTGCCGCTTTTCGCGAAATTCCCAGCCTGGGGGTCACTTGCAATGCGAATGCTCTAACTGCCTGCCCTCAGCACTCGGCACCGACACCGTACCCGACCGACCACCCTTCCCTGCTTCCACTGCACAGCTACCAGCTACCGTCTCTCGACGCTGTCGCCGCCTTTTATGCGCCAATTAAAAAATCTAATTTGCATGCGAATGCGAATGTCAAGATTTAGCTACGGACTCCGATTCTCACGGATAACCAGCGACTGACTGCACGGCATTTGAATGCTTTTTTTTTTAGTTAGTTTTTTTTTTTTTTTTTTTTTTTAATGAAAACACGTGTGGCTTATGATTTATCATAAGCAGCTGCTGCGTCCCAGAGAACAGAGATTACAGATCAGAGATCACTGCAACAATTATTTGCAACTGAATTAAAACAGTTAAGAGCAACAATGAGGATGAGTGAATGGCCCGCAGCTCGCAGCAACTGTAAATAAAAGCCGGCTTCAACTGCAACCTGTTC